TACACGATAGCGAGCTAACTTAATATCGTTTACTACTTAAACGCTGTGTGTAAACACAGACAGCATAAGCACCTACCCATAAACATTAGCAAGATGCGATTGTGAGCCGAAGGATTTTTTCAAAAATGACTACTAGAGCTAAGCCATCGTCTACGTATTTGCTCTCTACCCGTATAAACATCTCCTCATCCTACGTGTCGCTTCGCAAAAGTTCTCATAACTAATTTCTGAGAGAGAGAGAGAGAGAGAGAGAGAGAGAGAGATTCCGGTGGAACGCTTTCTGCGTGTGCTATTTTAGGAGTATTGTACTATATAGTTAGAGCTTCAGCGGAAAAATCGACCACAGCTGGTCTGCAACTAGCGTTAGATATCACACCATATATTGTATGCGATTTAATACATTTCATGGTTATTTGTTTTAGCTTTGTCGTTTTCAGTAAATTTTGTACATGTCCGCGCAGCTTTTTTGCTTCTAGGAAAGTACTCGTCAATCCTGCATTTTCTTACTATTAACATTACCAATAATGATGACATACATAATGGTAAAAATAAGAAAAGCTGACTTCTTTCTAGTGCAACTATTGTTCTAACAGAACAAAAAACAAATTGTGTCACGAAGTACACAGCACAGGTTCTTTAACTATACCGCCTAGTAATAGCTTAAATAAATAAGAATCGTAACACACGCTAGTCTACATTCTAACAGCCCTCTATTTTTTTAAAAATCAAGTATTTTCTAACGAGATTAATTATTTTTTCTAAGCCACCATTAGACGGTGGCGCACGAACTAAATCACTGAGTAGGAACAGATCGTACCCATACACATAGGTGGGCGCCCAGTTTGGATTTTAGATCGCACCCTCTCTGGTGTTCCGGCATGTACCGTACACAATGAGCAATTAATTGTCGGCTTTCGGATGAGTGTGGGCAGCTCACAGCTAGATTTGTTCATTACGAAAAAGAAGCGGGAACATTTGGAGCTGGATTTCTCTATCTCTGCTTCTCAGAGACTCTTTAGCCACCAGGCTGCGGGAGTGGGAAGAATCCCACCACCGGCGAAAAGACGGCTGCCCACAGCCAAAATGCTGCGATGGTAGGGGAGTTCGGGTTTACAGGAAGCGTTTCCGTGTCCTTATCCTTAGTGTCGTAAGCAAAGTGGCCGGACTCAGCACACGGTCGTCTCGGCCATTGCCATCGTCTTACTAATGAAAACTTGAGAGGAAGTAATCTTAAGGAGGTCGAGACAACCAGCGGCCAACTTTTAATGGAAGCTCCCACTGATATTTAGTCGGCCACCCGTTTGGTCATCTCCTTGGTCCAGCTGCTGATTCAGTCCGGGTCGGGCTGGGACGAGGCCGCTGTGGACTCTGGAGCGGGCTAGGGCAGTCGACGCACGGAAAATGACGACAGATTCGGTTCCTTCGAACATATATTTTCTGAGAACACGAAAGGTGGGCTTTACTTAAATCAGAGGATGCAGTGGCAAGATTGAGAGATCGGCAACAGTTGTTAAAATATTGGAAGTTCGTGGACAGTTGTCGTTGCATACTGTGCAATCTGCACCATCTCTCTGATCGAAAACCGCGCACGGCTACCAACTATATTGTATGATCGTAGGAAATGGGAATCTGGCTTTGTTGTAGACGATTGTATCGCTCTTCATATTTAAGAGGCAGTAAAAAATAACTTTAATTAGTAATGTAGTTCATTAATATATCCCTGTAGCTGATAAATATGAGAGTTAACAAACGCTTTTGGAGTTGATTTTGTCAGATTATTGGTATCGTTTTTTGGTCGAAGCAGATATTTGCACTTGATAGGATACACCAGACAGTAAGGCTATCTATCGGGACCATCAAACTTGGTACGCCAACTTTGATGGGTGGATAGCACTTTATGGACAACGTCGAGAAAATTTCAGGGCGTTATTTGATGGCCTCTAGAATTTTCGGAATGAACCGAATTGAACCCAGAGTCGAAATCGGAGGCCCTGATAAACCGTGGTTCTTGACATGAGCCTAAACTTAGTCTAATATAAAATGTATCAGCAATTAAATTGTGATTTTTAGAGATTACTTTGTACACCTTGTTTATGGACACTTATCCTTATTCCAAGACATTTTTCATGGTAATAAGAGACTTAAAAGCAACCTTTTCTAAATGCAGTACCTGCTGAATTCATACCTCGATTTGTGCCTGATATTATTTTAATACTGCTTCGATTCACCAGTTAAATCCACCAATTCTAGTAGCATGTTTAGTAGTGAGCACAGATTTCGCCTGTGCTAAAATACGTAATATACGTACCACCAACAGAAACTTCTTTAGCATCGTTCATTTCTCTCTTAGGACAAGCTGAATCCGCTTTTGCTCATTCCTGCAACTATTCGAGTTTCGTCTTTCCCTTACAGAAGCTAAAAGAAGCCTGCCTGCCTGCCTGCCTGCCTGCTTGCCAGTCCTCGTCTTGACGCCAGCTTTTCGTTGACCACTTGTCAAGCCCCCTTTTTCTCGCCCGCCGCTATATAGCAGGAAATATGGGACGCATACACTCGTTCAACATCCCTGCCTCGAGCTTTCTTGTTTTCCAGTGTAACTGCATAATCCAGAACTTCTTCTTCCTTCTCAGTATTATATCAGTTCAGGGTCTAGCTGCCGCTACTGCTCTTACCCGAGCTAGCTATGTATATGATGATACAGACGTCGTCAGCTCCGCGGGGGCCAGCGTGATGCAGTTGTTCTCTAGCGGCCGAAACCGCACAGTGGTTTCCATATGCGTGTCTGTATCGCATTCGGCGGTGAACGGAGACGCACTGTCGATAGATTCAAATTTAGTCACTTAGCCAGTCGCCATGTAGAGAGGGATACAACGGAAGCCAACCTACTACCGTAGGGGATCGCCGTTGGGGCATAACTTACGAGTTTCGCAAAGAACGTTGCTCTTCGGAGAACACACCAACAGCGATCCACCCCTACTTTTCCGCCCCCAAAGATGCCCCAACATCCCGTTATTCCCATCAATGGCCAGTGGCAGGGGGCATATAAAAAACTAACGGAAGAAGCAAAATCGTTGTAGCACCTCCATGGTAGACCTCACGGTATGCAGCGGTGTCGTATATGTGTCTAGTTGGAATGGGTGTGTCTGCACCTCGGCGCGCGTCTGCTGTGTATAGGAACGTGTTTCTTAAATTGGACGACGTCGTGTCGGGTGCTACGGTCGAGCCAACAACCAACAAAATATAGAATCGCCACGGTTGCTTAAAGTACGGCAGGAAGCACAGGAGCGATGCAACTGATACGTAGTAGCGATGGTAAGCAGAAGTCTACGTAGCTCAGTGTACATAAGGGAGATACTCATGTACACAGTTACCGGAAAATCGACATTGAAGTGATAAGTTGAGCAAGGAGTTGCAGTGACAGTGTGATGAATCGATGGCATATGGGAATCTAGCCTACCACGAAGATGTCCGAGGAACTCTCTGACTTCAGCGCGTATAAAGGAACACCCGTAGTGAGCAGGTTTAGATAGATTGTTCCAAAAATAAGCCAGATCCTACCATGAACACTGTGTTGAAATTTGATGTCTCGCTATTGCTAAACATACTTTCCGTCTCGCCTATACATAAATGTAGACCGAGTGCATGAAGCGTGCAGCATGCCTGGATATGCAT